CGTTCTGGCACGAGCGACCCGAAATATGGTTCGCGCAGATCGAGGCGCAGTTCGCGGTGGCAGGTGTGTGCAACGACATGACGAGATTCAACACCATAGTGGCTGCCATAGAGTCCAGCATCGTAGCCGACATGGCTGACGCAGTGCTTCATCCGCCAGCAGCAAACAGGTACGAGAACCTAAGAAAACAAATAATCGAACGGTATGGTGAATCAGAACAGCGTAAAATTCAGCGGCTGTTATCAGACGTACAGCTTGGCGATCGTCGGCCTACTCAATTGCTAAACGAACTGGCGACATTGGCGAAGGATAAGGTGAGAGTCGAATTCTTGAAAACACTCTGGCTCCAGCGTTTGCCTCCACAAGTGCGCGCGATTCATCACACGTCAAGCGTAGAACTGAGCGAGTTAGCCAAATTGGCTGACAAGATTTGCGAGGCAGGCGACTATCATCAGATCTCGGCAATGTATTCAGGCAGCGGTAGTACCTGGTCCGAAGCAGAAAAAGTGTGTCAGCGCTTAGACCAAATCGAGCAACGATTGAGTCGTCTAGACATGAACTCCCGTCAACAGCAAGATAGGCGTTCACTGAGAGGCCGCAGCCGACCACGTTCCCAATCGAGCAGTCATCCAGAATGGTGTTGGTTCCACTCCAGGTTTGGGCGCAAGGCTCGCAGTTGCAGGCAGCCATGTAATTTTACAGCATCATCGCAGACAAAAAACTAAGCGCTCCTTCGCCGTCATCGAGCCGCAACGAAAGCAGCATACAATTAGCTCGACTCACCATTAAAGATCCAGTAACGTCCACCATATTTCTGATAGATACGGGTGCCGACATCTCAGTGATTCCGCGGTCATTTTTGCGTAATTCGTGCAAAGCGAGCAGCGCTTCATCAGTAAATTTGTTTGCAGCCAACGGCACCCCCCATTCGCACGTTCGGGGAGAAGCGTCTTCAGTTGCCCGTTGGGTTGCGCAGAGATTTCCCATGGACTTTCATAGTAGCAGACGTCAGATGCCCTATCGTCGGTGCCGATTTCCTAAGGCACTATGACCTATTGGTGGATATGAAACGAAAGCGACTGGTAGACAACAAAACCACTATGGCGGCTAAAGGTGATACAGTCAAGGTGCAAACGATAGAGGTGCGCGTATGCAGCGTAGGTACGAAGTACGTCGAGCTGTTACATGAGTACCGTGGCGACAATGAGCATGAATCGACGAAGTACCGCTACAACGGTGGAGCACTGCATCGAAACGACAGGCCCACCAACATTCGCCCGGCTGAGACGTCTAACTGGCAGCAAACTCGAAGAAGCTAAGAATGAGTTCCAGTTTTTACTGCAAGCAGGTATCTGCCAGCCATCTAAAAGCTGTTGGGCTAGCCCACTCCATATGGTGCGTAAAGGTGATGGAAGTTGGCAACCGTGCGGCGACTATCGAATGCTAAACGCACAGACGAGGCCCGACCGCTACCCAATTCCATTTATACATGACGTGACGTCTATCCTACAGGCAAAAACTGTGTTCTCAAAGATAGATATGCAGAAGGCGTACCATCAGATTCCAGTGGCAGCCGCGGACATACCAAAGACAGCCATTATAACCCCGTTCGGCTTGTTCGAATTCAAATTTATGACCTTCGGACTCCGCAATGCAGCTCAAAAGTTCCAGCGATTTATCAACCAGACGTTGGGCGACTTAGACTTCGCTGGTGATGCAGTTGGGGCCATTCTCCAGCAAGTAGTAAACGGAGTGCAGCAGCCATTGGCATTCTACTCAAGAAAATTGAGTCCAGCTCAAATGAAATACAGCGCCTATGGTCGAGAGTTGACAGTGGCTTATCAAGCTGTCCAATATTTCCGGTATGCGTTATTTTGCTTCACAGCAGACTACCTTTCTCGAATTGCAGCAGTCCAGTATGAAGCAAGCGAGGTGGAAAGAATTGCGGTTGAACAAACAACAGACCTAGAGCTGCAGAAATTGTTAGACGACTAGCCCGGAAAACCGTTCTATTAAAAAAGTGGAAATTACCAGATTCAGACGTTGAACTGTACTGCGATGTTTCCAGCACTCACATTCGCCCATACGTCCCAGCAAATTGCAGGCAGCAGGTATTGTCCAAGCTTCACTCCTTGTCTCACCCCGGAATCAGGGCAACTCGCAAAATCGTCCAAGCAAAATACGTGTGGCCCGAAGGTGCAATTTTCGTCCGAAGGTGTGTTGCATGCCAAAAATCCAAGGTTCAACGCCATACCCGTACGAGTATCGGTTCTTTTGCAACGGTATATGGCCGATTTCAACATATTCACTTGGATATAGTGGGCCCATTGCCACCATCGCAAGGAAAGCGTTATATTCTCACATGCATCGATCGTTTTTCGCGTTGGCCAGTAACCATTCCTTTAGTGGGCATCACAGCAGAAGAGGTGGCAGCAGCATTCATTTCATATTTCGGCACTCCGCATGCAGTCACAACCGACTTAGGACGTCAATTTGAGTCCGCTATATTTATAGAGGTGACGAAACTACTAGGAATAAAGCATTGGCGCACAACTGCCTATCACCCCCAAGCCAATGGCATGGTCGAGCGGTTTCACCGAACACTGAAAGCAGCCATACGTTGTCACGATTCCAGTAACTGGACCCAAATTCTGTCTTTAGTAATGTTGGGCCTCAGGACAGCGCCGAAAGCAGACATAAATGCCAGTCCGGCAGAGATGTTATACCGCAACCCTCTCAGAATCCCGGGACAGTTGCTGACAGAAGTCAAAATCAAACCAAGCGAAACAGACTTCGAAAAGTTACTGCGCAGAAACTTAGGTAATGAACGAACTCAACCTGGACTGCGACACGGTCAACAACCAGTCTTTGTACCCAGCGAGCTGTCAGAGAGCAAGTATGTATTCCTACGCACCGATCGCGTTCGGGCACCGTTAGAACAGCTTTACGAAGGCCCTTATCGTGTAGTCCGTCGCGATTAGAAAAACTACGTCATCAGCATGAAAGATAAAGACGTCACAGTAGCAGTAGACAGGCTGAAACCAGCATTCATGACTTTAGCTGGCATTGGCAGCAGCAGAACAACCGAACCGTCTTCAGTACAAGCACCAGGAGTCGAACCCGTCCTCAAAGACCAACAGGAAACCAGATCTGTGGTCACACGCGCAGGCAGAACAGTGCACTTTCCGGCCAAGTTGCGCGCATTCACCAAATAGAGCGATAACAAGGCGATAGCGCGGTATCACATGCGCTCCCCCGCTAAGAGGGGGGTACTGTGGCAGCCCCAGCCAAACATGTGCACGTTCGCAGCACCAGCCAAACATGTGCAAGTTCGCAGCACCAGCCAAACATGTGCATGCTAGAACATATGAACGACACGAAACACGGACACGCAAGTAGTGCATATACAGAGCAACAGAACTTGTGCACGAGTCAGTCGTTCGTTACATTCGGTGTGGAATATACTAAAAGTTCATTTTTTAAAAAAACCGATACAAATTTGTAAAAACATACCTGAAATACTTTTGCGTACTGATTTTGTAATGGTATGTATAAATAAATTATTCAGTAATCTTTTTAATACATGGAAATACATACTTTTAGTTGGATGGCGCCTCTCCCGAAACTCTAACTCACTGCTGTTCTTTCGTGATTTTGAATAAACAAACAAGCAAATCAACCATTAGTTTTAAGGGTTGCGTTCGACATTTTTGGTCTTAAATGTGCTGATTTGTAGTAAATGAGCTCCTTTTTAATGAAAGCTCTTTGTATGGTATATCATACTCATTAGTGATTATAATGTGCAAAACCGGCTAAAAACGAGACTGTGTGAATGCACTGTTGTCTGTGTTTACAATAGATAATAATTTATAATGTTGTACTTCTTCCAGAAAACTTTTTGGCATATCGATCATTAAACTAGCCTTTGCTTGTATTATAAAAGGCATATTTATCGGTTTCTTCACTGTTAAGCGAAACACTGTCAGAAATACGGCTAGATCGTTAATCGAGTCTACTGTTGCACGAAATGGCTTTTAACCGAGGTATAGGTGTATAATTATATAAAGCTCTTATCAGAATGCTGACCGGTTCATTAATAAGAAACGTCAGCAATGAGTCATACGAAATTGCCAGAACATTGATAAAATTTTTATTATTGAACACATGTAGTATTAAAATTGTATGTGGATTTTTTACATTATTAAATAATGTGCCAATCGGATTGTGTAATCATTTCAAATGAATATTCTTTTGTGAAATTGGTTTGTGCACATAAAGCATAAACCAAATTAATATAGTTACATCAATCTCAAGCAAATCTGTGTATGGGCTGCCAAATATACTTATATTAATTTTGAAAGAACGGGAACGGAACAAGTTTTCTTCTACATTTATTACTTTTTCAAGAGACGCGTCGGTGGTCGAATCGTTTTTTGGCTTGTGTTTTTCGATTAAGTTTCGGTTTTAGTTTTATTACTGGTATGTATTTTGCTTCATAAAATGCGGGACTTCAAATCGAATATATGTGCAACTTTTTTCAATTAAATATTTTCAATTAATAATGAAATTTTCTAAAAATACTTGTTTGTTTGAGCAATGGTGTTTTTAAGGTTATGTGGCCCTATTTGCAAAAAATAAAATCTGCATTTCACATATTACCATTTTATATAGGAATGAATTTCAGTAAAAGTCACAAGAAACAATAGAGCCACTGCGTGATGAGACTTAAGAAAGTGACAGCATGATTTTCAACATACAAATCAAAAACAAAAAACTGGCATTGCTTTATCTCTCAATAATCCTTATAAGAACACATATTTCTACTTTTAATAGTTAATTTCAAATAACGTTTCATTTGATATGATTGAGAATTCGTAAATTCATGAATTCGTGATTTCGTTAAAATTGGTTCAATTTGAATGTTTGAAATTTAGTTGGTTTTGTGTAAAAATGAATATAATAATGAGGTATTCTTTTTTGTAGGTTTTGCTGACATTAAAATGGATGATTTGGAAATAATGTGGGATGATGATCCACCTGAAAGGAATGTGTATGGAGTTTTAAGTGCAAACATGTCCAATTTTAATGATATTATAGAAAAATTTCCTACTGACCCAGCTTACATTGGTGCCATAATTGGCCGAGACGGCTCCAACATAAAAAGCATTAAAACAAAGTTCAACGTCAATGTACATATAAATAGTGACAACCATATAGTAACTGTCAAAGGTCGTAATAGAAAAAATGTTGACGATGCCGTTAAATACATTTTGGAAATTATAAAACACTCTGATCAGAAATATAAAAATAAAAATAAAAATAAAAATGTTTCATCTCAAAATCACGAAGTTTCTCACAATCCCAAAGTTGAATTTAAAAAAAAATCATTCGTGCCTCGTTTTAGTGCTTCTTCCAGAAATGACAATATTCAGGTTGCAACTCCGAAATCTGTAAGTATGACGTACATACAACGAGCGTATGGATATAATATAGTAGCTCATAATAAAATTTATTTAGGGAGAAAATGGCGAAAATAGATTAAGTCTACCTACAAAAAATGTATGTATTGGTGGTACTGAAAAGAAGGAAGTATTGCAGCCTATCGATTGGGAATCTCTAAATAGAAAAGTTGTAAGAAAAATATTAACAATCCACAAATGAAGATATCGATTTATTTGTTTTGCCCATATGAAATATTTTTTATTACAGGAAGAATATCGTAAGTTGCAGTGGGCGCATCTTCCAAAGCTGAGAAAAAATTTTTATCAAGAAGTCAAGGAAATCGCTGTTATGACAGAGGAAGAAGTCAATGAAATGCGTTTAGTAAACAACAATATAATTGTTTCACGTTTAAAAACAAGTGAAGATCAAATGTGTCTTGATATACCGAAACCAATATACAAATTCGACCACTGTTTCAAAGATTATCCTGATATACTTGATGAGTTGAAGAAACAAAACTTTACGGAACCATCTCCTATACAAAAGCAAGCATGGCCTATATTATTGAGAGGCGAGGAT